TAAAAAACTCATTCTGTTACAAGATGGGTGAAAAATAAAAAAACAAAACAAATAAAAGAAAATAAATAATAAAATAAAATAATAAAATGAAATAAATAAAATGAAAAATAAAAGAGGAAGAATAAAAAAAGAAATAAAATAAAAAATAATTTAAAAAAATTAAAGTAAAATAAAAAATAAAAATAAGATAAGATAAAATATAATAAAAATAAAAATAAAAAATAAAAGGGCTCTGTCATTCGAAGGAATACACTGTTGAAGCTTCCTTCTGGATCCAGAACCATAAACTCACATCCGTCATGGCTTTCTTTGCCTTCTCATCCGCCGATCGGAATTCGCTGATGAGTTCTTCGTGTTCGTTGGTTATGCGCGTGAGGTCAGATTCCAGCTTACGTTTGATCACCAGCAAGCTCTGGTTCTGCAGAAGAGAGGAGACCTCAAAGTAGGACCTGTTAAACCAGGGTCAGCTCAAACTATGGCTCATGAATCCTCCTTCAGGATGGCCAGCCATGTTTGCATAGGCAAAGCCAGAAGGCTGTCAAAACTTAATTTAAGTTTTGTCTCAGGATCCAATCTAAGTTGGGACCAAAGTTTTATTCTTCCAAGCTTTGGGACTTATGTTGGAGCCCATCCTAACGGAACATCTCTCTCACTCTCTCCAGAATTTGTGCGTTGGGCTGTTCTACATGTTGTATTTATGGGGTTCCTGGTTGTGTGTAGCTTTTAGTTGTTAATTAGGGTGTTGAGGGCCAGCTACTAAATCATTGATTGTTGTTTCCTTGTGCAACTGCTGGCCCTCACCTCTTAAGTAACTGAAAAGATGGTGGTAAATCAGCTGTTGACTGACAATATTTGTTCCTCATTATACCTTCGCAAGGCCAGATTGGTGACTGAGGTGTGGCAAAGTTTGGGAAGTTTGTGTAATGTGTAGATTAAAATGTAATAGTTAAAAGTGATAGGGTTATTTCTTGCCTGAGATAAGATTTAAATTCCTCTCTTGTCTTCTCTTCTTGATACAATGGCCAGAACTAAGTAAATACCAGGGGTGGGATTCTACCAGTTCGCACCTATTCACTAGAACCGGTTGTTAACATTCTAAGCAGTTCAGAGAACCGGTTGTTAGAAGAAATTACTGGGCTAATCCTGTAAGGAAGGCCGGAAGGAAACATTCTGGTGTTGCTTATAGAAACTGCCTCTCCGTTAACCCTTATTACATTCTTGGCAGGACTAGACTTCCTGTCTCTGGAACGTCTCTGGAGTTTTTCTCCCCTCCTTTGCTGCTACTTTGCTTGTGTGGAGGGACCATTCAAAGTTACAATGGCACTGAAAAAAGTGACTTATGACCATTTTTCACACTTACAATTGTTGCAGCATCCCCACAGTCATGAAAGGCCAGGCGAGGAGATGCGTGCCTCGATGTGAGTGATATTGAGTTGGCCACGCCCAGCCAGTCACATGACCACCAAGCCACGCCCACCAACTGAGCCACCCTCACAGAACCCATTGTTAAAAAATTTGAATCCCACCCCTGGTAAGTACCCGTTCCCCAAATGATTATTTAAATTGGCATTTCTCATCCTTGTTAACTTTCAGATGTGTGGACTTCAACACTACCAGAATTCCCCAGACAGATTTGCACAAATCTGAAAGTTGTCCAGGTTGAAAAACACTGGTTTAAATTAAAAAAAAACCTGAGCCAACGGTCTGTTTTTTCACACTCCATTCCTTCTTCCCCATAGAAGGTGGAGGCCCTAGGTGTTGACTCACCTGAACATTGAGTTCGTTGTGCCTTTCAGAGACGTCCACCAATTCTTGCTCGATGAGTTTCCGTGAACGTTCACTGCCCTCCAGGCCGGTGCGCACCTCTTCCAACTCTGTCTGGAGAAGGCTGAGCCGGCGTTCTTGGAGATTGTACTGTTCCCTCAGCTCCTCGTGTTGGCGAGCATCTTCGTCCATCTGCATTTGCATGTCCTGGAGGCAGAAAAGTGTCAAAAGCCCATGCTTAGTCTGAGCCATCAGGTTTCAACCCTGATCAACAAGGGGGTGGAGATCCAAGAAATATGTCCAGGATGGAATTTTAAGTCTACCTGCTGCCTTGAAACTTCCACCTGTATCTCAGATAGGACAAGATGGGGCTTGCCTTAAAAACAAGGTCAAGTATAGCAAGGAAACAGGTAAGTGAAGTTCTTAAGGACTTAATTCTCTAAGGCAGGGGTCTCCAACCGTGGCCACTTTAAGACTGGTGGACTTCAACTCCACCAGTCTTAAAGTGGCCAAAGTTGGAGAACCCTACTCTAAGGGCCTACTTGTAGACATATACTACAGTTTTGCTAATTCATGTCCTACAAGAAGCCTTCAGTGAGATTCCTTCTGAGTTGTAACCTGAGTTTTTAGGATAGCTTTACTTTTTGCTGGCTCTGAAGGCCTGGCTACATGTTCAACTGGTTCCTTCAAGATGAAGGTTCCAACATTGGGAACCTTCTCAAGAAGAACCAGTGAAGTGGAGTGGTGAAAGAGTTGGATGAGGAGCAGGTTCTAGTCTACTTTCATCTACAGAAGCTCCCTAGGTGACCTTGGACCAGATGTTCTGTCAGGTCAGGTCAACCTATCTCATGGGATGGATGTTGGGAAGAAAACAGGAGTTGGAGAAGAAGACTCAAAACTTATTGCTTTTCCTCTGCTCTTTTCCGGTCACCATTCCTGTAACTTTTTTCACCTTGAGCTGTTGCTGGAGTTTCTTCAAGGCCTTGACCAGCTCACTGTTGTTCTTATTGGCATGGTCCAGCTGGATCTCCATTTCATTCAGGTCTGTCTCCATCTTCTTTTTCAGGCGCAGGGCTTCTGCTCGACCTTTGGCCTCCAGTTCCAGGCTAGACTGCAGAGCTTCGATGGCACGCTGGTGGTTCTTTCTACAGAAGTGAGCAAAGGTCATTATTAGGTTCCCAAAACCAAGAAAGACACACTGAGATTCTTCTAAGCATTTTTCTTTATCCTTCCCCACCTATAGACAGAATCTTGCCAAAGCAAAGCAAAGCACTTGTACATATTCTGAGAACTTCTAAGGAGGAGCTGACTTGACCGTCTTCCTTCCAACCAAGCTATCTAAACTTCGCTGTCTCTTGGTCCACTGGAATGCAGCCCCTCCCAGGTGCAGTGGCCCACAAATTCCATCACCCCCAACCCACATCACCATTATGGCGATAATCGGAATCGTGGCACCAGAAAAAAAGGGGTCTGATTCTTAAGGAGCAGATGGCAAATGAATATTCCAAACTTATCTTACAGAGATTGTAACTGGGGCAACCGGATATTCTGGGCAGGAAAATCCTCTACTGGAGAATGTGATTGATGACACCTAGCCCATGAATGTGTTCCATTGGACAATCTGAATTATGATACACCCAGAGGGTGGAGATTGGGGGGGGAAGCAAGGTCATAGGTGATCGTAAAGTACATATCTCAAGACTTGGCTTCACACAGATAATGCCAGTATGTCGCTCCTAATAAAATATTTGAAGTTTTTTGAAGTTCGGCCCGAGGATCATGATTTAATTAATGATTTAATCGCTGAGAATTCTGACAACAAGCGAGTCTGAATTCTATCTTTAGCTCTCTGGCAGCAAGCATTGCTACGTCCCAGTTGCTAAGCTGAAAAGTTTAGTCAAACCTTGTGGCTTCAAATTCCTCCTCCTTCTCATGGATTCTCCTGTCAATATCTGCCTTGACTTGGGCAAGCTCCAGCTGAATGCGAATCAGCTTGCTCTCTTCCACCTGTTAGCAAACAGAGGAGGAGAACCCTGGCCTCAGTTTCCCCAAACAGGTGTCCCAGCGCTCTTTTCATGTGGCGAGGAAACCTTTTGCGTTCCCTTGAGAGTCCGAATCCTTGTGCCCGCTTCTCTGAAGCAAGGATGCGTGACCAAGGAGACCCAGAATGACTAAACCCACGGAAGATGCTACGTTACCTCCAGGGAAGACTCCGCTTCCTCCAGGGCCACCTGAAGCTCGTCTTTCTCAATTTCCAACTTCTTTTTCATCTTCTGCAGCTCATGGACACTTCTTCCTCCCTCACCCAACTGGTCAATGAGATCCTTGATTTCCTCTGAATGGAAAAAAAAAGATGCATTGCACAGATATTGATTCAAGCTGACCATAGGAGGCTGCCCCAAAGAAGAGAGGGATTCAACTTATTTTCCCAAGTACCAGAAGGCAAGAGAAGAAACCACAGAGGGAAACTAATCAAGGAGAGGCGCAACCTGGAATAAAGGAGAAACTTCCCAGCGAAAATTAACCAGTGGAACAGAAGTTGCCTCCAGAAATTGTGAGGGTCTCCAGCACTGGAGGTTTTTAAGAAGAGATTGGACAGTCATTTGCTCAGAATGATATAGGATCTCCTGCCAGAGCAGAGGGTTAGACTAGAAGACCTCCAAGGTCCTTTCCAAGCTGTATTCCAATTCTTATTATTGTCGGAAACCAGCTGGGAAAGTCACAAACAGCGATCACATGACCCCTGGGGCTTTTAGGATACTTGGTGGTTTCCAAGGTCCAGAATTTTGATCACATGGCAGCGGGGATGTTGCGATAGATCTAAGCACGAGAAGCAGTTATGAAAGTCAACTTTTTCAGTGCCGTTGTAACTTTGAGTGGTTGCTAAATGAACGGTTGTTGTAGAGGACGGCCTGAACTCACCCTGAAGAGTCTTGTTGTCCTTCTTCACAGCTTCCAGCTGCTCTAAGGCTTCCTCGTAGGCCGTCTTGAGCTTGAAGTTCTCCGTCATGTACATGCGGCATTCCTTCTGGGAATTGTCCACTTCCAGTTGGAGCTCCTCACACTTCTGCTGCCATTCAGACAGCATCTTGTCGAAGGCCCGTTGCTTCTTATCCAGGACTGCACAGGCTGCATTGGCCTGGGAAGGAGAAGAAGACAAGCGTCACCCTCAACCGCAAGGTCCACCACTGATGGTCTTGCTTGTACTTCAAGACTTATCTCTAGGTCTTCATCATTCTGATGGAGAGAACCTCTGTTTCTGAGGTTCCTACTAACAAGAAACCAACCTGAACTTCTTCAGTACTGATCAGTGGTGATACGCTACTGGTTTGGCCTGGTTCAACTGAACAGGTAGTAAAAACAAAAACCCTACTGATACAACTGAACCAGTTCCTCCGACGATTAGCTGAGAGGATAAAAGAAGGAGAAGCGCATCGGTAGGTAGGAAGGTCACTCTAGCATTTCGTTTCTTCATCCTCTCAGCCGATTGGTGTGTTAGGGGCGCACGCACACACACACACACACACACACACACACACACACACACACACACACACAATCACCCATTGAACTGGTAGCGACCAAGGTAGGAACCCACAACTGGTACTGATGTTGAATCTGGCAGGATACTTATTGATACGAGTGGTGCCTATCATTTTCGGTGAACCGTTTCATCTTGGTGACATCGTTTTGGGTAATAGGACAAGGTTAAATCATCATATTAAATCAGAAGTGGGCAATCGTAGTCCTTCAGAGTCCATTTTTGCCGCTTCTAGAGCCCTCCAAAAATCACATCTCCAAGATTTCACAACAAATCCAATTGTCGCTCTTCCGTTTCAAACAAACTATGGTCTCAAAAACCGCCTAGGAAACTTCCAGGGAAGGAAAGCCGTTTATTTGGCCTCACCACCTTCCAAGATCAGAAAGATCTATCAGTGAGCCTGCTTGCAATTGCTGAGTAGATTTTGTTACCCTAACATTTGAGTTCAATGTTTACTTGGCTTCCACCAGTTTCTTTGCTGAGTTCACACATGATGATAAATCTTATCTGGTTTCTTTGGGGTTGCCATACCCCATGGTGCAAACCAGCCAGTTGCGGCTCATTGCCAAGAAGAGACCCTTATCCCCGGGAACGTGTGTTATTTGACCTTTTCCAGGTCCAAAGTCAGATCCTCCACTTCCATCTGGAGCTTCTGCTTGTACTTCTCCATGCTGGCTACCCGAGCTTGCGCCGTTTCAGCCGTTTCCTCTGCCTCCTGAAGACGGGCGGTCAGTTTTCTCCTGCAAGTACACCCCAAGACAAGGGAAAAAATGTCCCAGATATGAGACAGGTCAAACAACAACAATAGCCTTCTAGATATCACTGAAATTCTCAGAATCCCTCATCAGGTTATCCTAGACCTATAACTTTGCTCTGCCACCTTACTCACTTAGTCTCTTCCAGCTCCTCAGTTCTCTGAATAGCATCGGTTTCATATTTGGTCCTCCAGGTTGTAACTTCGGTGTTGAGCTTGGAGACCAAGCGTTGGAGCTCAGCTTTGCCGGTTTGCTCTTCCTCCAGCTGCTCTTTGATCAAATCCAGGTCATGTCTGGTGTTGGCCAGACTGACCACTGCAGCACTGCGGGCCTAAGGACAACCACAGTTGTAGCTGATTAATGTCCTTCCCCCATATTTCCTTTTTTGTTGTTGTTGTTTATAGTTTCTCTTGTGAAAACCCTCAGGCCCAACCAGATGAAAATCATTACTAGGCACTTATAGTTTAATTCTCAGAACACCAGCTTTATGGAGAGTTAATTTCTGAATTTCTGGGAAATTTTGACCATCTCCTTAAAAGTCAAAGTCTCTTGTGATTTTTGCAGATGTCCCCCAAGATTATACTATTTGCTTTTTTAGGACCACCAGTTTCTCCTACAACATAATGAAGAAGGTTCTCCAGGATGTTGGGGATCTGGACAAAACCCACGTGAGGAATATCGACACGTGGAGTCTTTGCATGTTCTGATTCTCAACCTTCAAAACCAGGTGAATTTGGAGTTCTTACCTTGGACTCTTCATCCAGCTGTCGCTTGAAGTCGTCCACTTGGGAAGTGAGGGATGTCTTGACCCGAAGGACTTGATTGAGCCGTGACTGACTTTCTTCATGCTCTCGGCTCAGCTCGTTGTTCTCAGCTGCAGGGCAGAGGAATGGAGGAGAACTGGGTTATTGATTGATTGATTTCTCCATCCATCTCACCATACTTCGTTAGCTGATGCTTCACTCAACAACCTAGAGTACTGCATCCAGTTTTGGTCACCACACTATAAAAAAAGATGTTGAGACTCTAGAAAGAGTGTAGAGAAGAGCAACCAGGGTGATGAGGGGACTGGAGGCTAAAACACACGAAGAGACAAGATAAATGGAACCGAGCCTTCAAAGGTCGCCCATTGTGCACCTAACTTTCCTTGAAAAAGGGAAACACAATTTCTCCGAGGTATGAATGAATAACTAAAGACATGAGGATGTGACAATGAAGGACATGAGGCTGGAATTGCTAGCAACTAGGGTGAAAATGTTTTAAAGTTGGATCACTCAATGAAATGAAACAAAATCAAATAGTGGAACTCGGGAGATCGCCCAAGGAAACAACCTTGGAGTCTGTTCCTGACGGCGTTGATTTCTGCTTGATTCCTTTCCATCTCAGCCAGTCGGGAGTTGACTTCAGCCAGGTTATCCTCCAAACGACGCACATGACCTTCAGCATTCATCTGCAAGGATGTAGAGGAGAAGACAACTTCAGAATAACCCAGAATTCCTGCTTACATTTCAGCAAACCAACTTCAACTCTTGGAACTGGACTCTGCTGCAGGTCACTCACCATAGTGCGGTACTTGTTAGGCCCCCCAGAACCACAAAAGACACATTGAGGCTCTTCAGTAATGCCCTTTATCGTTCCTCGCCTATAGACAGAATCTTGCCAGGCTGAAGGAACTACTCGCATCATTAAATATATATTCAGAAGTTCTAGGGAGGAGCTGACCTGACTTTCTTCCTCCCAATCAAAATATCTAAACCAGGGGTGTCCAAACTTCTTGCAAGGAGGGCCAGATTTCATGAGGTGAAAATGTGTTGGGGCCAGACGTTCTTTGAACCATTAACATGAACTGGGAAAAACACTGGCTGGCGGGGATGAGTGACAGGCTGAGCCAGCGGGGAGAAGAGGCTGTAGGCCACTTGTGCTGTCTAGACAGTTTAGAGTTAATGGGATTTGGAATAGTTAGTTAGGAATTGAGAGCTGTCCCCTTAAGGGAATGCATCATGGTAAATGTAGTTAAGGTATTCTGGGTAATGTAGTTCATGTCATGTGGCCACATCTGTAACCCTGATTGGTCACCGAATTGACCCTTGGTGGGTCGGGGGGAGGTTTCTTCGCTCTTGCCTGAACATAGCCTTGTGTTAGCAGCTCTACCCCCTGCTTCTACGATATGGGATGAAAGGGAAGAGATAACCCTCTTTTTACCCAGAAAGTCAGATATGCAAAGGATTGGACATTAAGAAGAATCTTGTCATAACTGTGAGTTATTGAGGATGCCTGATGAACCAATAAAAAAGACTTTGTATGGATGCTTTGTGGAGTTTATCTGTCTTTGTACAGGACAGAATACCGCTCAAAATTTGAAAAAGGGCCGCAATTGGCCCCCGGGCTGAACTTTGGACGTGCCTGATCTAAACTTTGCTGTCCCTTGGTCCTCTGGAATGCAGCCCCTCCCTTCTGGGAATCCAGACCCTATTCCACCACAGTACACCACCCAATAACTCAATCCATCAAAGGACTCAGGAAAGATCTACCATGTTCCTCATTTTGCCTCTTCAACCATGTGCCAATGACTAGGATGACAAAGAGAAGATGCTGGTAGAGGATCCAACCATGAGGTTGGCGTTCCCAGCCTCGCGTAACGGCTTTTTTTTTTCTCGGTCCGTCAGTACCTTGGATTTCTGGATGTTTTCCATGCTGCTGCTGAGATCATCAATCTCGGCCTTCATGACCTGCTTGTCTTTCTCCAACTTGGATTTGACCCTTTGCAGGTTCTCCAGGTGTTCGGTCATCTCGGCCATGGCGTCGGTGTGCTTCTTGCGCAGGGTGGAAGCCGTGGCCTCGCTCTGCAAGGCGGCTTCTTCCAGTTCTCGCCGCAGCTTAAGCAGCTCAGCCTCCCGTTTGCGGTTCTGCTCAATCTGGGTGCAGGAAGAAGAGAAGGAATAAAAGGTAGGCATCCTTGTAGAAAAACTGCAGGAAAAACTGCAGAAAAAACAATGGCTACCAACCTGCCTTCCATGTATACTGCACGAGTCAAAAAGAGGGCTGTGAAAATATTTACAGACCCCTCACATCCTGGACATAAATTGTTTCAACTCCCACCCTCAAAACAACACTATAGAGCCCTGCACACCAGAACAACTAGACACAAGGACAGTTTTCCCCCCCTCATGCCATCACTCTGCTAAACAAATAATTCCCTCAACACTGTTCAACTATTTACAAAGTCTGCACTACTATCACTATTAATCTTCTCATCGCTCCTTGTCACCCATCCCCTCCCCTCCCACTTGTGACTGTAGGACTGTAACGTTGTCGCTTGTATCCTTATGATTTATATTGACGGTTTCCTAGTATGATTTGATGGCTTATTGTACCCTATGACTATCATTCTTGACTCTTGACGAATGTATCTTTTCTTTTATGTACACTGAGAGCATTTGCACCAAGGCAAATTCCTTGTGTGTCCAATCACACTTGGCCAATAAAAGAATTCTAATTCTAATAATTCATCCCCTCCCTTTCAAATAATCAACTCTGCTCTGATGTGGGGCCCTCAACATTTTCTGACCCATCGTGACTTCCAGAGCTTGAAAAAACATATAAAAGAGAGATGGCTGGGTGTCCTGTGGGGGATTCGTTCTTTGGAGTCTCAGTTTCTCAGCATGTGAAATGGGCATGGCACAGCCATCAGCTACCTTGATTGATGTATGTTTACCTGGGATGTGGTGGCTCCTCCAGCTTCTTCAAGTCTGTCACTGAGCTCTTCCAGTTCCCGGGAGAGATCGCTGCGTTGCTTCTCAATCTAAAAGCAAGTTATTAATATTATTTTATTTTATTAAATGTTTACACTTCTCATCTCTCCTATAGAGAGACTAGAGTTGGGAGTATAAATTTCTTTCTTTCTTCTTTCTCTCTTTCTTTCTTTTTCTTTCTCTTTATTTCTCTCTCCCTCTTTCTTTCTTTCTTTCTTTCTTTCTTTCTTTCTTTCTTTCTTTCTTTCTTTCTTTCTCTTTCTTTCTTTCTTTCTTTCTTTCTTTCTTTCTTTCTTTCTTTCTTTCTTTCTTTTTTCTCATTGCCTTTCTTTCTTTCTTTCTTTCTTTCTTTCTTTCTTTCTTTCTTTCTTTCTTTCTTTCTTTCTTTTCTTTTCTTTCTTTCTTTCTTTCTTTCTTTCTTTCTTTCTTTCTTTCTTTCTCTTTCTTTCTCTCTCTCTTTCTTTCTTCTTTCTCTCTTTTCTCTCTCTTTGTCTTTCTTTCTTTTTCTTTCTCTCTCTCTCTCTCTCTCTCTCTCTTTCTTTCTTTCTTTCTTTCTTTTTCTTCCCAAATACATTGTCCTAAAAAGCTCCATAAATAAAGATGAGGAGACATCGCCAAGCAAGGTGAAAGGAGAACAACAGAGTCAATGTTTAATTTATTTTAGATTTTTTTCATCCTGCCTTTTTTTTTTATAAATAACTCAACATGGTGAACATACTTAATACTTCTTCCTCCCCCCCCCCCACAACAACAACCCTGACAGGTGGGCTGGGCAGGGCAATGAAAGATCCAAACCCATTTTATCAAAATGTTTTGCCCTGAGTTGGCGACAAAACAGAGGTTTACAGCTGCAAAACAGGCTGATTTGAACTTCTAGCAGCGTTTCAGGGTAATTGGGAAAAAGGTGTTCAAAAGAGCCCTGAAAACAAATGATTTCCAATGTTTCAAACATGGCCTGGACGAGTATATAAAATCATGCATTGCAATGTCCTACCGGTCAATGAATACTTCAGCTTCAACCATAACAACACAAGAGCAAACAATAGATACAAACTCAAGGTAAATCGCACCAAACTTGATTGCAGGAAATACGACTTCAGCCACAGAGTGGTCGATGTCTGGAATACTCTACCCGACTCTGTAGTTTCTTCCCCAAACCCCAAAAACTTTAACCTTAGACTGTCTACTATTGACCTCACCCCTTTCCTAAGAGGTCTGTAGGGGGCGTGCATAAGCGCACCAACGTGCCTACCATCCCTGTCCTATTGTTTCTTTTTATTTTTCTTATATGTATCCATTTCATGTATTCATAACTATGTTTATACTTATACCTATTATCTTGTTAGCAATTGACAAATCAAATAAACTAAATAAATAAAAACTTCAGAAACAACTTGATTTTGAAATGTTTGGCCTCGTCCTGCAATCCATGTAAGGATTCTAAACTGGATGGAGACATTGTCTTGAGTGAGCCCCTTCTTTGATTATGGAGAAATAGATTTACCTTCGCCCTCAAGGATCGTTCTGCTTCCAACTCTTCTTCCAGCTCTTCAATTCGAGCCTATGAGAAGGAAGAACGCCATGAGATGGAAAGCAATGGTTCCAGGAATGGGGTATGTCTAGTTTAATGGAAAAGAAGGACGATGGGTGACATAATAGCAGCCTTCCAATATTTGAGGGGCTGCCACAAAAAAGAGGGGGTCATGGTCAACCTATTCCCCAAAGCTGTTGTGGTTCGCTGGCAGCCAGTGCAGTCGCTAGCGGAATTGGACAGTGGAGAAAAACGGGGACCAGTCAGGGAGTTTAGAGAGGACTTGGACGAGGTTCCTGCATCGGATGCAGAGATGGAGCCAGGACCACCTGGGAGTGGGGTGCTGCCTTTAGAGCCTTCGGAGTAGTCTGGCAGCAGCGAGGCAGAGGAGCAAGGGGAGCCTGTTCCCAGTGTGTGTGTGTGCACAGAGCTGCTAGAAGGCAAGAGCAGCTGAAACAAAAGGGGCGACTCAGGAGTAAGACTGGGAGGTGATTGAACCTCCCCTAGGATATAAAAGTCAGGCCAAGATGATGAAACCTTTGCAGGAAGCAAAGTCATTCGATCAGTTCAGAGTCATTCTGGAAGCTCTTTGTAATTCGGTTGGGTTTTTTTTGTACTTTGGTTGGTTTCTTCTCTAGTTCATTTGATACTCCTGTTTTTGGCAGCACTTCACAGAACTGAAAGGTGTGTGCTTATCTCGGGGGACTGTTTGAGATTAATTCCTGGCTGGGAATGAAAACGATTCCCAGCGTTGCAATAAAATAAGTCTTGTTTTTAACATAAGTGTATGCGTAACTACAGTTTAGGAAGCCTGGGTCAGAACAAAAGCTCCTGAAGGCAGGATAAGAAAAAATGGATGGAAACTAATCAAGGAGAGAAGCAACCTAAAACTAAGGAGGAATTTCCTGACTGTGAGAACAATTAATCAATGGAACAACTTGCCTTCAGAAGTTGTGGGTGCTTCAACACTGGAGGTTTTTAAGAAAGAGATTGGAAAACAATTTTGTCTGAAGTGGTATAGAATTTCCTGCTTCAGCAAGAGGTTGGACTAGAAGACCTCCAAGGTCCCTTCCGACTCTGTTCTTTAGTGTTTTGAGATAGGGTAACTAAGAGACTCTTTAAAGCATCCAAGCTCACTGCATACCAAAATTAGGGAACCAAGACGCAGCAAAAATTGCATGCCTTCCTGCCTTCTCGGTGAGGGGAAGAAGAACCACACATGTGAAGCTGACTTTGGAAATGTTTAAGGACCACACAAGACTTGATCTCTTCAATGTTTTCTTTCATGGTCAAAGTCAACTCCATCCCTTGGCAAAGTAATCTGGAAGCCCTGAGAAACTGAGATGACTGATGGCAGTTTGTAATCTTAAGATTTCCTCTTAGAGTAGCCGGATCTGGATGGGATCAGGGGACCTGATACCGTTAGCCAAAGTTGATTATGGAAAAAGGTGGTGGAATAATGTCCATCTGTCTTTCCCTCCCCTACCTGGTGTTCCTTCAGTTTCCTCTGAAGGGTGGAGTTCAGAGCCTGCTCATCTTCCAACCTGGAGCTGATGGAATTGACCTCTAAGTCTCGCCTGGAAGAGAAGATACATCAGGCTCAATCAATGACTCTGTGGATGTGTAAATGTCTACGGAGGTTCTCCATCATCCAGGTCATGGCTGTCCCAAAGTTGCTTTTTCAAGAGGCAACTGGTCTTTCTGGTTTTTCCTTTGAAGATGTTTTGCTTCTCATCCAAGAAGCTTCTTCAGCTCTAACCTGAAGGAGCTTCTTGGATGAGAAGCAAAACACCTTCAAAGAAAAAAACAGAAAGACCAGTTGCCTCTTGGGACTGTGGATGTTTAGCTTCAAACATCATATTAAAGCTTGCATTCAGGTTCACAAACCATGATTGGGATGTTCCCACAAAGTGTTACACTCAAACAAATAAACTATGGTTGGTTTTTGCAGCCTCCTGAATCACGAAAAATATATACCCAGCCACCATTTTAGCTTAGCTTGTGAGAATCCATCCAGAAAGCAGTAGTAATCAAGATCAAACTTCCCAATCTAGTCCCCTCCAGGAATGTTGGACTACATTTCCCAGAATTCTCCAGACATCAATCCCCATCTATGCCAGTTCAGTCAAGTGGTTTGTTCTACAAACCAAGGGTTCATGTGAAAGGAAGTCAGGGCCACTTACTTCTTCACCACCTCTTCCAAGTCCAGCTTAGTCCTCTCCATTTCGTTCAGATTTTCGATGGTCATCTTCAAGTCACCCTCTGCTTTGCGACGGGCCTTTTCAACCTCGGCACGGATTTTCTTCTCTTGTTCCCAGTTGTCTTCCAACTGGTTGAGGCAAGCCAAGGAACCAGAAATGTAAAAAGGAACCATTTACAACCAAGGAAACGTAACAACTATACAAAAATCACCGGGAAGGATAGAATAAGGACTCCTGCTTTGGGAAGGGGGTTGAACTAGACAGAAGACCTCCGAGGTTCCTTCCAGCCCTGCCCTTTGTAAAAAGGCCACTGCAATCTCTCCATGCAAACCCCTTGCTTCAAAGTCTGCCCCAACCCCTGCGGAATGAGAAGGCAATGCTGACCTCGTTTATCTGAGTGTTGAGTTTACTGTTGCTTTTCGTCAGATGGTTCACTTTGTCTTCCTCAGCTTGAAGGTCATCAAGCGTTTTCTGCAAAGAAGGAGGAACATTGTAAGGAGAAGATGCCAAGTTGAAGAAACAGCTCAAAGGGAAGCCAAAGATGCCCCTTTTGCCACAATCAAAATCTCAAATGACAACCATGTCAAAAAAGGTTACCAAGAACACCGCACGTTTTCAATGGATGAAGCCATAACCGCTCAAAACAACCATGGGATTGGTTTAATGACCATGGTGAAAAGGTAATAAGATCAAGCCTGCCTCACTTAATAACCGCACCACTTAGTCCCAATTGGGGTTGTAAGTTGAGGACTATCGGTGTGATGTCTTTGCATGGCGTAAATCTTTGCCTTGACCGAAAGGTGGGATTCTGATCTATGAAAATCCGTAAGATGAGCCTGGACCTTATGTGAGTCAACGAAAAGAGTTGGTTCCTTCTCACCTGGTGGAGCTCATCCAGTGCTCTTTTTTCCTTCTGGAGTTTGGCAACCGAGTCGTCCCGGGCTTGCAGGTCGCTGGTCAAATTTCGGACTTTGTGATCAAGAGCCTTGAAAGAAGCAAGAGAAATTCATACAGAACCATCCATCCTGAGCAGACGACTAATCTAAAATATACAGTTAGGTAGGTAGGTAGGTAGGGAGGGAGGGAGGGAGGGAGGGAGGGAAAAAGAAAGAGAGAGAGAGAAAGGAAGGAAAAGGGGGAGAAGGAAAGCAAAGGAGGAAGGAAGGAAGGAAGGAAAGAAGGAAGGAAGATGGGAAACAGGAAAGGAAAGGAAAAGGAAAAGAAAGAAAAGGAAGGAAAAGAGGAAGAAAGATGATTGAAAAAAAAGAAAAAGAAAGAAGGAAAAGAAAGCATGGAAGGAAAATTGAAGAAACGAAGTTAGAAAAAAGAAGAGGAGGAGGAGGAGGAAGGGGAAGGAGGAAGATGGAAGAAGACATAGTTTGATCCATCTAATATATGAACCAATCATGGCAAGTGTGACTCTACTGGGAAGTTCTCACTTCCAGAACCCACAAAGAACAACCCAAAACCTGTCTTCCAAGGGCCACCACCAAGGACAAAATGCTTACTTGTTTCTCCTTTTCAGTCTTAGCCAACGTGGTCTCCAGCCCCTCAAGGTCTCGCTTGAGATCGTTAAGCTCTGCTTCCAACTTGCGCTTGTTGGCACTCAAGGAGGCCGCTGAACTTTCTTCCTCCTCCAGGCGCTCTACCATGTCAGAAATCTGGCTTTCCAGCTCCATCTTGGCCTTCATCATTTGAGTAAGGCGCTCTTCCGCATCGATCAGGTTCTCTTGTTCCTGAAAGGAGAATAAGAGGGAATATTGGTATTCTTTTTGTTATCCTTACTTGAATGACCATCTGTAGGAGGTAGCACTGATGGCTACCAGCCTCACTGGCTACAAAAAGAGGATTGGGTATATTGATGGAATTGACCTAAAGGAACATTTGTAGTTCAGGGTTGAACTATGGATTCCTAGGTGCTTTCTAAACTTGGTTGTTTTCTTACAGATGTTTCATTACCCAACTGGATAACACTTCTAGTGTCAGGGTTCTGGCGATTTCCCTAATTAAATTGTGGGCCTTGAGCCAAGCTTCAAAAGAATCCAAAAGATTTATTAGGAGCAACATGTCTGTCAGGATTCCGGCAGTTACTCCAAGTAAATCATGAGCCTCGAGCCACACTCCCAAAACTAAAGAGGATTTATTTGAAGTTAACATTCTACGTCTGGCACTAACCTGGGCGTAGCCCACTCTGAGATACGTAATTCACTGTCACCCTTGATCCTGCTTTTCCCCCCACCCCTCTGGGTGTATCATCCAATGAAAAACGTCCATAGCCAAGAGTTACCAATCCTGCTCTCCAATTAGATTTTTCCTTGGCAGAAGCTTCAACCATCTAATCAGTCTTTGAAGAAAATATGAATGGAATGTACTTTCGATTCCACACTGCCGCCTGCTCTTTGAAACTCCCCCCGCCCTTCTTTCTGTTGTCAACTATAAAACGTGTATACAAAATGTTTATGAGCTGACAATGTTGGCATTAACCTACTCTGTCGCATGTAATTTAGGGTCACCTGTGACCCTGTTTCCCTCCTCCCCCCTGAGTGTGTCATAAATCAGATTCTCCAACAAAATGTTCATGGGCTGGGTGTCATCAATCACATTCTCCAATAAAGGATTTTTGTGGGCAGAATATCTGGTGTCTAGGTTACAATCTTTGTAAAATAAGCATGGAATTTACTTCTGTTTTTAATTGCCGTACTGCTCCTTCAGTTTCCCCCCCCCCTCCTGCTTATGGTAACTGGAAACAGGCATAGGAATGCTTTGTGAGTTGACATCTAGCACTAATCATGTTACCTAGTTGAGTAATGAAACATTTTCAAGAAAACCACCAAGCTCAGAGAGCACCAAGGAGCCCACAGACCACCTCCTCCTTTTCCTCCTCCCCTTTTCCTTCCTCCACCCTGCAAACATCCCTCCCTTCTAGTACTGGTGATGTCACCTAATGAAACATCTGCAAGAAACCCACCAACTTCAAGAGCACCAAGGATCCCACAGAACTGATGGAAGTCATGGAGATTAGTAGCTATTCCCCTTAATACCATCAAAATGGTTCTGCCGTCAAAGGAAACCATTCTGTGAAAATGCCTACCATCCAAAATATCTCTAACCCCACTGACTTCTGGAGGGCACTCCTCAACATCTTATGCAACAGAAGTTGCACATCCTTCCTTGAGGATGAATTTAGTGGACTCACAGCCTGCAGTTGGATGATCAAATCATTCTTCTCTTGGCTAAGGGTGGCCAACTTCTCCTCCAACTCCTTGACGCGGTCTATCAGTTCCTGAGTCTTGGACATGGCATTCCTCAGCTCTTCCTCCTTTTCTTTCATCTCGTCCTCTTGGCGAGCCACATTCAGCAGAGGTTTCACCTACAGGTGGGAACCAAAGTAGAAGATGAAACCCTCTGTGATCTCTGGCCATCTCCGAACATAGTTATGTTGTCCAAGTCTCCACCACTTTTCCACGGAATGAAAAGACCCAAGGACTGGCATTATGCTTGAGATAAAAATCTACTGGGTCCCTCCAAAACACTCGCCTCTACCCCCATGTCCCTTCAAAAACTCAGACTTTCTAAGAGAACCCTTCTAAGTTTTCTATTTGCTTTACAAATGGCATAAAATTATGTACTGACACCCCTTCAGAAGATGTTTTTAATGCGCTACACGGACAGACAGGCAACACAAACCTTTGCATCCTATTTCAGAATACCTGAAGAACATGATAGCCGAAACTGTTTTGGGGATTAGATTGCTGTTCCAAATTTATTTAAAAGAGCCAGAAGAATAAAGAAGGTGATTTTTTAAAGGATCACCAAATCTTGTGAGATTTCAAGCAGCACCCAACCTATCAGGTGACATTACAACTTATAAAAACACTGTACACACATACAGAGACACACAGCCAGAGATAATAGAATTACAAAATTTTGGTAGGAGTTACCTCCACCTTTTTGGTGGAAATTAGCTCCACCTTCTTTCTCATGGACAATTAATCATATTGCCAAAAAGTGTTTCTTCTTGTCGAATAAACAGGCGGAGAATGTCTCTCCTGGTCATGGCTGCTTGTTGTCCGAAGCCATCCATTGACTAAAAACAACAACTCTCATTTTGTTTTGCTACAACCTGAAGCCCTGGGTGGCTAGCCTCTCTCTTCCATCCACTACTGCCTCACCTTATTGTAAAGTTTCCACCATCCCCAGTAACGCATCTGTAAGAACTTGCGAATGTTCCTTTGGATCAGCATCAGGCCCAACCTGGTTTTAAAAAAAGAGAGAGAGAGACAAACTAGAGTTAGGAAAGAAGAAAACATGGCCCTCCAATGGCATGATGATGAACTTATCTCTGTATTTGTGGATGCAGGAAGTTCTAAAGCCTACACAGTAGCTTCTCAAAAACCTGGGCATAAATCTACGGTGGACATATACCAGAAGAAGACAAGTTATTCCAGTGAAATGTTGGAAATGTCATCAGACACCTGGATCATATTACCATATATGGTGGACATGTATAGAAACTAAAAGATACTGGACTAAAATACACACATGGTTGGAAAAAGTGATTAAACAGCATATAGATTTAAAACCAGAGATAATTTTATTGGGGATATTGCCTGAAGGTTATAATAAAGAGATAACGTATTTGATTATTAATGTATTAACAGCAGCTAGAATTGTATTTGCACAAAATTGGAAAAATGAGAAAATTCCGACAGAGGAGGAAACGATTAAGAAAATAATGGAATGTGTGGAAATGAGTAAATTTACAATGGCAATTACAGAACAGGAAGAAAAAGAGTATTATAAGATTTGGGGTTTATTTTATGAATGGTTAGATAGAAGAGCAAGAAACTGAAACATGTTGTAATAGTTAAAATATATTATAATTGATAAGTAATAATATGAATATAAATTAGTAAGTATTAAGATTTGTTTTTGAAAGATAATCTAGAATTGAAATTAAACTTTAATGAAAATATGATAATGGAACTATGATATAGAATGCTGATTAGAAAAAGTTGTGAATATAATTAAATAAGAAATGTATAATAATAATAGCATGCGCATAGGATATATGTACCTAACCGACACACTGTAAAATTGAAAGATGGTTTTATTTGTTGTATTTATGGTAAAAATAAAAAATAAAAGAAGAAGACAACCTATTTGAAGAAATAGGCAAGCAGATTGAGAAGTTCCAGTGCATGTCATGAATCTTTTATTGGTACAAATTCTCATTCAGATACTGTTCTGGCAGAACGTTGATCTCAGGGTAGATTTTAATGCATCATTCATTCATTCATTCATCCATTCACAATCACAGATTAACATACTTGGAAGGACCTTGGAGGTCTTCTAGTCCAACCCCCTGCTTAGGCAGGAAACCCTACACCACTTCAGACAAATGGCTGTCCAATCTCTCCTTGATTAGTTTCCATCCATTGTTTCTTATCCTGCCTTCATGCGCTCTGGATAATAGATTGACGTAGATATTGGAACACTGCTATCATGTCACCCCTAGTCCGTCCATCCATCCATCCATCCATCCATCCATCCATCCATCCATCCATCCATCTATCCAATCCCTTCTTAAAGCAAAGAAGGGAAGATATAATCTATTTCCTTACCTTCTCTCCAGCATCTTCTTAAATTCAATTCTCATCAGGAAACCACGGATGCGGCTCTGTAGCATGGTCATGATCTTGGCCAAACGCTCATCCCGCAGGTCTTCCAACTTGGCCAAGACTCCAGCGCGGAAGAAGACCTGTGAAAACAATGGACTTATGTACACAAATCCATTCACAAGATCAAGTCGTAAGAACCAGCTCCCTAAACTCTTCTGGGTCCATGAGGATTGAAAGATGAGAAGAGAAGTGAGAAGAGAAGGGCCCACCCCAAGCTGACCACCAATGAAATGTGGAAACTTGGTGAACTTCCAGCACAATTGTCTTTTCCTGAAGGAAAGAAACCGTTCTTAGTACCTTAGTGTGTCCAATTTTGTACTCATTTTCTCCAAGGTCAAGAGATGCCAGAATAAGTTCAGAGGCTTTCTTGTTGTCCACAAAGCCTTGAGGAATGACGTTGGGATTTAGCACATAATACCTGACATTAAGACGACACAAACAGGAATTATTGGGTCTGGATGAGATTTCGGGATGTCAAGGTCCCAACACACCAAGGATGGAGGAAAGGGTCAACCCTATCACCTTTGCTTGAACTCGGGGTACTGCAGCCTGTTGGGGAACCCTTTGCGGCAAATACGGATACCTTCCAGGACACCGTTGCAGGACAATTGATGCAAGATCAGATGAGCGTCCACCACACCTGTAGAGACACAAAGCAGGATGACCATCTTTCCCCAACCATCACCAGAAGTTCTGCAAGGCTGTGATCTCCATGGATTTGCTCAAGCTTTCTTCAGCTTGGTGACCAAGATGGAAGCTATCTCACCCTTTTTTATCTGGATCTTGACTTGACTCTTGTCTTGGTGAGTGTTTTTCTGCCTTGTTCTGGAATACAATGCTACACTGCCCTTAACCATGGGTGCAATCTATTATACATTATGCTGAAGCATGCCTTGTTTAATCATGATTTACTGAATCAGATATTTTAACTAACATTTTGCACATCACATCAAGCATCCATGTGTTTTCTAACCTCAATGGCTGGCTAAAGCCAAACAAACCATCTCACATCATGGTAAGCCATATAAGGAGGTTGGTTTGTGTGTGGCTTGGTGTGAAGTGGATCCTAACTTTTTTAGCTTGCAAACTATACTTCATGGTTTAACCCCTCACACAATCCAACAAGAGACAAGTCAATGAAGGCATACAGTAGTTCAATATGTTATCTAAGTATTTTCCTCTGGATCTTTTAATCCTTTATTTGCACTAGGATCCATTCTTCTTTTTTCTCCAGTTTGGCAGTACAGCTAAGGCTTAAGAGAGATCCATCTTTTGGTATTGCAATCCGTAAAGCAGTGAAAAACTTCAGATCCGGCTCCAGAAAGGTGCTTTAAATTCTGCAGGATTGAGAACAAAGCATCTATCTGGAACCCTTCAAAGCACCCGTGTCTTTTCTTAAGTCACCCGCTGTATGTAGGGCATTTCCCAAAGAGAAAAATGGACGTGGTTTGCTTGTTTAAGAGATGAAAAATGATGACTTCAACTCACATACCAGATTGCTTGAACTCATTGGGCACAATGCAGCGGACAAAATGGGGCGAGGTACTGTGCAAAGTGGCCATCAGCTTGTTGAGCTGCTCCTGAAATACACAGAGAAGAAAGGAAGGAAGGAAGGAGAAAAGGGAAGAGGAGGAGGAGGGAGGAGAAAAAGGAGGAGAAGGAAGGAAGGAAGGAAGGAAGGAAGGAAGGAAGGAAGGAAGGAAGGAGAAAAAGAAGAGGAGGAGAAGGGAGGAAGGGAGGAGAAAAGGAAGAGGAGGAGGAGGGAGGAGGAGAAGGAAGGAAGGAGAAAAGGGAAAGGAGGAGGAAGGAAGGAGAAAAGGAAGAGGAGAAGGGAGGAGGAGGAGAAGGAAGGAAGGAAAGAAGGAGAAAAGGAAGAGGGAGAAGGAAGAGGCAGAGGAGAAGGAAGGAAGGAGAAAAGGAAGAGGAGGAGGGGGAGGAGGAGGAAGAGGAGGAGAAGGAAGGAAGGAGAAAAGAGGAGAAGGAGGAGGAGAAGGAAGGAAGCAGTTAGAAAGAGATGTTAATCAATATCCGTGGGACTTAGCTGGGAAGCAGTTATAACAACAATTTATTTTATTTATTTATTTGATTTGCCAATTGTTTACAAGATAATAAGTATAAGTGTATACATAGTTGTGAATACATGAAATGGGTACATATAAGAAAAATAAAAGAAGAATAAGAGAAACAATAGGACAGGGACGGTGGGCACGTTGGTGCGCTTATGCACGCCCCCTACTGGTAAAACAATGCTGGTAAAAGCTGAAGGAAGCATTAAGGAGGCACAGAATGCTCCTCGTAAGATTCCTTCAGAAACAGGAGCCACTGAGTGTGTCACTTACCCTGTAGAAGTTGGAGACGGTCATGAAGGAGGCCCCCCTTTTCTGCTTCTTGGTCCCCGAAGCTGAGGACAGCATTGAAAAGCAAGTGATTCAACGGGAACACACAAAGAGAGAGAACAGTCAACCTACGGAACGGGACACCTGGCCCCGATTGACTCACCATGGCCCCACTTGCTGCAGGACAACTCAACATTGGACAATTCCACATGGGGTCATTGAAGAGAGGGACAAGCTCACCCCAGCCCGGAGGGCTTCTCACTGGAGAAGGTTCAAAACCAAAGCAAGACAAGGTCCATTGCAGTTCACTTGTCCTTCTTTTCAGTTGAATTGTCCTCTGGTGCAGTGGTCACCAACCAGTGGTGGCCCATGAGAAAATTTTGGTGGTCCACAGAGAAATGTCACCCCCAAAGCAATTAATCCAGGCTGTGCGGGAATGCAAGGCTTGTGTCACTTGCATTGCGAACAAGACGAGGTAGTGGGAGGGGAAGGGTAGAGGGGGGGAACTTGCCCCACTCTTCCCCCCACGTGCCTGGCCTGGCCACCAGGCTGCTTCTTTCTGCTTCTTTCTTCTTCTGCTTTTGGCTGCACGCAAGGAAAGCAGCCAAAGTCTTTCTTTCTCTCCCCCAAACTCCGCCAGAAATGAATCTTTGGGACCCTGCAAGGCCTCCTGCTCCAAGAGGCTGCGCCGGCAAAGCCTCATTTCTGGTGGAGTTTGGGGGATAGAAAGAAAGACTTCTGCTGCTTCTGCTGCTTTCCTTGCACGAAGCCAAAAGTCTCTCTCTCTCTCTCTCTCTCTCCCCCTGAGAATGGAGCTGCAGATTGTATCCTGCAATCCCAAATAAAGAACAATCGAAGAAAAAAACGGGAAAACGGGGTGGAGAATTTTCCTGCAGACATTTTTGGGAGGATTTTCCCAGGGTCTCTAGTCTGCAGGATTTAAAATTATGAGTTTGGTGGTCCCTGAGGTGCAAAAGGTTGGCGACCCCTGCGGTCTGGCATTTTGGCCGTGACAACTTATCCCCCAGTGAGTTGAGTTGGCCGGGGCAAGTTGGCCTTGATCCGCCAATATCTTCAGTGATTGGCCAACTTTTCAATTCCTGTTTATTCCCAACTTTTCTTTCTGCCCATCTGTCCAATTCAGTGCCTTTCCATTCTCATTTTTTTCCATTCCTTTTGACCCACGTCAAGAGGCTTTCAATCAAATTTATCCTTATCTCACACCCCAAATATCCCAGACACGCACATTTTTGTTTGCAGATTTTCATGCAAACCATTTTCTCTTCTGTAATGGTTTCCTGCATATTACTCTTATTAATTATCTATTTTCAGGCACAGATAAATAAGTATTTTTGGTGATATTCACTACCAGGAGGCACCCCATAACTGAGATTGTCCTTATTGAGACTTCTCGTGTGTAAACAGTTATTTCTATGGGTTTCAAGCAGGAATTGAACTCACACAATTGCACTCTGTGGCCTGGATGGCTCCTAAAGCTGATGTACTGTCCATATTGATTGATTGATTAAATTTATATGCCACTTATGTCATTACTCAAAGCAACTTAGATGATGTACTGCTCTACAGCAGAGGTCTCCAACATTGTCTAATTTAAGTCTTGTGGACTTCAACTCCCACAATTCCTCATCCCCTCTCCAACCATGGCAACTTGTGGGCTGCAATTCCCAGAATTCCTCAGCCAGCAATGCTGGCTGAGGGACTCTGGGAGTTGAAGTCCACACGTCTTCAAGTTGACAAAGTTGGAGAACCCTGCTCTACAGGATGACGGGATCTCAATGAGGGCAACAAAAGAGCTACATACCTGCGGCCTCTTCTTCTTTGAAAAGAGTGCAGAGCAAAGCCATGGAAGACTTCTGGAACAAGCCCACCACCGTTTCATTCAGGGGGTCCTTGTTTTTCTCCAGCCAACCGGTGATATTATAGCCCACCTGGATTGAAAAAAAGGAAGAAGGAGAAGGCATGAAGGAATCATGACTACAACCCACGGGGAAGTCATCTCGTCATCCTTCACTAGTGGCAGAAGATAAACAAGGAAGGGTTCAACCCAAGAAAGTCCAGTTGACTTTTGGACACCCATGACCTGGATGATGGAGAATCTCCATAGACCCTCAGGCTACAACCTTGTCCACAGGGTCAACTGAGTGGTGCAAATAGGTGTGGAGCCTTCTTGGAACTGTTGAAAGGCCTGTGTTGTGGAGCTGTGCTACACCCATTTGCACGACTCAGGTAAGCCTGAGGACACAAGACAAACCTCCAGGTGGCCTCAACAACCCTTTAAAAGGATGCAGATGACCAGCTCTGCCTGCAAGGAGTATAAATCCTTTCCTTCCCCACCATCCAGTCAGAGCTGAAGAAGCCTCTTAGATGAGAAGCAAAACGTCTTCAAAATCAAACAAGGAAGTCCAGTTGCCTCTTGGAAAAAAAACCACATTTGGGACAACTATGACCTGGATGACGGAGAATCTCCATGGACAGCTCCCTCTAATTACATTCTCCACGTCCTTTAGAAGCAAATTCCATCCAATGCAAAGATCCTGTTATTCTTCCGCTATGCTTCTTGCTTTGTACTCACCGTGCCAGCGTAGTGAACCAGCTCAAAGTGGGCTTCTGCCCCTTTGCCCTTCCCCCCCTTTGGCTTCAGGAAGTTAGGGGACTTGCCCAGGTGGTTATCATACAGGGCAGCCTTGAAAGTCGCATCGCTCGCCTTGGGAAACACGCACTGCTCTTCAAGGATGGAGAAGATGCCCATGGGCTGTTGGGTGAAAGCAGACGCGAGGATCAATTCATCCGTTAGTACTGATTTACGGTTATTGGGTGTTTTTTTTTTTTTTCACAGTCTAAGCTTTGGAGGGTTTTCAATAAAAGATCACATACAATCTCACTCCATGTAGGTCCTGATCCTTCTTGATCAGAAGAAACTATTCCAAAGATGGTATAGATAGCTATCTAGCTATCTAGCTAGCTAGATGATAGATAGATAGATAGATAGATAGATAGATAGATAGATAGATAGATAGATAGACAGACAGACAGACAGACAGACAGACAGACAGACAGGATAGACAGATAAGATAGATATAGACAGACAGACAGATAGGATAGGGTAGGATAGGATAGGATAGGATAGATGATAAATGATAGATAGATAGATAGATAGATAGATAGATAGATAGATAGATAGATAGACAGACAGACAGACAGACAGACAGACAGACAGACAGACAGACTAGACAGATAAGATAGATATAGACAGACAGACAGATAGAATAGGGTAGGATAGGATAGGATAGGATAGGATAGATGATAAATGATAGATAGATAGATAGATAGATAGATAGATAGATAGATAGATAGATAGACAGACAGACAGACAGACAAGATTGGGTGGATAGATAGATAGACAGACAGACAGGATAGATAGATAGGATAGGCAGGCAGGCAGGCAGGCAAACAGAGATAGAGTAGATAAGAGACATATAAAAATAGATGGATAAATATAGAACACAGAGATACAGATCAGGAAGAGAGAGAGAGACAGATAGCAAAGAGAGAGAAAGAGAGAGAGATGATAGGCAGGCAGGGAGACAAACAGATAGATAGAGACAGATAAAAATAGGTAAATGGATAGATACAGAACACAGATACAGACAGATGATAGATAGATAAAGGAAGGAAGGAAGGAAGGAAGGAAGGAAGGAAGGAAGGAAGGAAGGAAAAATGCTTGGAACTCATATTACCCGAGGTCAGGATTGAAAACAACAACAATGGCAAGAAAGACCCCAAAGCAGCCTTCAACCTATCTGGAGAACCCCAGGTTGCTTCTGTGGGGGAGGGTTACCTTTTCCAGAAGCTCAATGCAAGCCTGGAGATCGAGACCAAAGTCAATGAAGACCCAGTCGATGCCTTCTCGCTTGTATTCCTCTTGCTCCAACACAAACATGTGGTGGTTGAAAAACTGTTGCAGCTTTTCGTTGGTGAAGTTGATGCAGAGCTGTTCAAAGCTGTTGAACTGCAAGAGGAGGAAGGTGACAGGTTGCTCACAACTTCCTACCCTTGAGGCTTACTGTTGCCTCTTTTGCTTCAGAAGTTGTACAACGAAAGAGGGTTTTCGCTTTACAAGCTGTAACGGAACCTGGTTGTAAAACAGGTCAGTCCTGTGAGTAATCCATGTTCCTTGCGGCGGCCAATAAATGAAATCATGGCTTGCCAACAACCAGAAGCAATTAGCAGCTTTCAGCGAAACTGTAGTACAAACAATGGGGTCAGCCATGACTGAGGCATTTTCCAAACGACTGTAAACATGCATGCAAACATCCATGAACACCAACTAGCAGTCAAATGTTCTTTAATTTGACAACATACAGACAGATGGAACCCCGTTTTCATGCTTGGTTGGGGATCAAATCTGCTTTCCCACCTGACCCCACCAAAAACCCAAGGTAGATTGGAGGGCTGAGGGACAGTAGAAGTCTAGCTATTGATGGCAAGCTGGAAAATATGGAAGGTGGTGTCTTGGTGTCAATGTAACGGAATGGGTGGGACATTGATGACTTTCATTCTACATGCCGGGGTTTTTTTTGGGGGGGGGTTGTCCCCCAACTCTGAATCATGTGCAATAAAAAAAAATCATTCATGGCTTCTGGATACCTCAAAGATCTCAAAACCAGCGATATCCAGGACGCCAATGAAGAACTGCCGCTGCATCTTGGTGTCCAGGGTTTTGTTGATCCTGACCACCAGCCACTTAAACATCTTGTCGTAGACGGCTTTGCCCAGGGCGCCAACGGAGTTCTGGCATTGGTCCATGTTTTGCCCCTTCTGCACAAACTCATTGCCTACTTTCACCCGGGGTCTGGTAATCCCCTTCTGAAGGTCTCCAGAGTTCAGGCCCATGAGGTGGGCGACTTTGTCAGCCACTGCCAAAAGATCAAAACAGAGACATTTATTGATGGATCGTTTCAGGGGTGGGATTCTACAGGTTCACACCTATTCGCCAGAACCGGTTGTTAACATTCTAAGCAGTTCAGAGAACCGGTTGTTAGAAGAAATTACTGGGCTAATCCTGTAAGGAAGGCAGGAAGGAAACATTCTGGTGTTGCTTACAGAAACTGCCTCTCCGTTAACCCTTATTACATTCTTGGCAGGGTTAGACTTCTTTTCTCAGGAACTTCTCTTGAGTTTTTTTCCCCTCCTTTGCTGGTACTTTGCTTGTGTGGAGTGACCATTCAAAGTTACAATGGTACCGAAAAAAGTGACTTATGACCATTTTTCACACTTACGACTGTTGCAGCATCCCCACAGTCATGAGAGGCCAGGCGAGGAGATGCGTGCCTCGATGTGAGTGATGTTGAGTTGGCCATGCCCAGCCAGTCACATGACCACTAAGCCACGCCCACCAACTAAGCCACGCCCACAGAACCGGTTATTAAAAAATTTGAATCCCACCCCTGGATGGTTTCCATAGACCAACTCTGTGATCCCGCAGTTCTGTAACTTAATGGGGACCTTAGGACAGTGATGGCGAACCATTTTGTTGTAGTGTGCCCCCGCCCTGCCCCCTTACCTGCACTGCGCATACAAGCTAGGCGGATATGACCTCATTGATGATCCTCACTCCGTCAAGGACCTCAGAGTATTCATATCTAATGACCTAAGCGCCAGAGCTCACTGTAACAGCATTGCCAAAAAGGCATTAAGAGTTGTAAATCTAATCTTACAAAGGTTCTCTTCTGGAAATATTGAATTGCTAACTAGGGCATACAAAACATTTGCTAGACCAATACTTGAATACAGCTCATCTGTCTGGAATCCGCACTGAATATCGGACATTAATACAGTTGAGCGAGTCCAGAAGTATTTCACAAGAAGAGTACTACACTCCTCTGCTCGCAACAGAATACCCTATATCACCAGGCATGAAATTTTGGGCTTGGACAATCTTGAACTATGCCGCCTACAGTTGCACTTAAGCGTAGTACACAAAATTATCTGCTACAATGTCCTACCAGTCAATGACTTCAGCTTAAACCACAACAACACAAGAGCACACAACAGATACAAACTCAATGTTAACTGCTCCAAACTCGATTGCAGAAAGTACGACTTCAGCAACAGAGTGGTCAATGCCTGGAGTGCACTACCTGACTCTGTAGTTACATCCTCTAACCCCCTCCCCCTCCTTTAACCTCAAACTATACACTATTGACCTCACCCCATTCCTAAGAGGTCTGCAAGGGGCGTGCATAAGTGCACCATCGTGCCTACCGTCCCTGTCCTATTGTCCCCATTTAATCGTACCTATTTTCTGTATTCTTACTCATGTTTATACTTATTATTTTGTAAGCGATTGATAAATCAAATCAAACCAAATAAATAAATAAATGGATTCTGCAACCGTCATAAACAGGAACCATCTGAATTTTGATCCCATGGCCATGTGCAATGGTCATCGGTGTGGAAACCGGTCATAAGTGACTTTTTCCAGGGCTGTTGTAACGTGGAACGCTCACTGAGCAAAGGGTTGTAAGATGAGGACCATTGGCCTTCGTCCCCACTGCGTTACCCTCGGTGGTGTCCACTTCTGCTTGTTCCTCTCTCGGCTTCTGCTTGAACTTCATGTTGCCGAAGTGTATAATGCCCCCCGTGAGTTTGTACACACCGTTCTTCTCCTCTCCGGTGAAGCCCAGGACATCGAAGGCCACCTTGGCAGAGAAGGAAGCAGGACACAAAGGGTTATTACCAAAGCCCGTCACGGGGTTTTAAGCTTAGCATGTAAGCACCATTTTGAACGTTTTTCGCCCGTTTTTGGCCAAGGTGGTGGCCCACACCACCTTTGAACACGTACGTCTGTGAGGAGCAGTTCTTCCCCATCATCCAAGTTTTCCACCTGGATTACCCCTTGGCTCATCCATTGGTATTCCTTGGGATCCGGGACACACAGCAAGCTCCCTGGGGCAACAAAAGGCATGTCAGAATGGGGCATTTTTTGCTTGTTGGGATGTGAAGAAAGCAATGGAAATGGCCCCGAAGGGAACATATATAAGTTTTAAAGAAATGTCTCTCTCTTTCTCTCTTTGCCTCTCTCTCTGTTCTTTCTTTCTTTCTTTCTTTCTTTCTTTCTTTCTTTCTTTCTTTCTTTCTTTCTTTCTTTCTTTCTTTCT